GCGGAGCGCGCAACCTGGAGCTGCCACCGCAGCATTGCAAAAGCGGCCGCTGACTGCAGTTGAGTTCCAGCACCCGCGCGGCGTACAGCTGAGCTTCCCCTGGCACAGAACGCCGCGTGCCCTCGGGCGGAGGCGGGGAGGCCCGGCTGCGCGCCGGCCACGTGGAGCCGGACTCTGGCCCCCACAGCCCATGCCGCCTTGCCAGGGAGGGAGCTGGCACACATCCTGGCGCAGCCGGCGCCGCCACGGGCCAGACTCAGCCTCCAGTTATCCGCCCCGCAGTGCGAGGTGCCCCTGTGCCCTAGCCAGGGCTCCCCAGCAGAACTGCTGCCCTTTAAGCCGGAGCCAGAGAGCAGCAGCCGCCTGCTGGGCGACCCTGTGGGAGGCGGCGCACCAGCATCTCTGCGCGCTTGGCCGTGACCCTGGGAAGTGGTTGCCCCTAAAAGCAGGCTGCCGAGCAGGCTGCCGACCCTGGGGCGCTGGTCACCCACTCTCTCCTCCCTCATAGGGCCCTAGGGACCACCAGCTTCTTTTGTCCCATTACTTCGCCAAGGCCAAACCCCACAGGCCGTCAGGCCCGGCCCCAGGCTGCGGGCTGGAACTCACCAGGGACCCCGGGGAGGCGTCGGTGGTCAGTGAAAGGAAGCCCGCCTGGCTCTTGGTGCAGGGGCACCCGGCCAGCCCAGCTTGCGGTGTGGTCTTGGGGAGGGGCCTCCCTTCTCGGGCCCAGGTCATCGGCACTAGACCTACAGATCTCACGCGACTAAGCCCTGGGGGATTCTGAGACGCCATATTTGCTCCCACCTGAGGCAGTCAACGAGAGCTCCGTGGGTGGGTGACCCAGCGCCCTGGACAGAGGCAGCTTCCGAAGGCACAGGACGGGATGGTGCTGGAGACAGCGAGTCTTCAGGCACCAGGGGCTGTGCTGCCTTCTCCCGCCGCACCTTGATGCACGCTGCTTTTGCTTCCTCCGAGACAACCATGGGGCCTCTGCTGCGGAGGGAGAAGGGATTTTGTTCCTAAAGATTTATATATGCATAGGTGACCCACATGGCGTGGGAGAAGGGATTTTATCTCCACCCATTGAGTTAATTCCTGGGAGGGATGAGCTATCCTCAGAGAACAGCCAGCCCAAGGTGCTATTTGGGGCGCCGCCAAGGCTCCCACTGTGAGCACCCTGGTATTTGTCCCCCTCTCCGTCAAGAAACATTTTGTTCCCGGAACACAGTTTTCTTCACGCTCCGGAAGTCCCCATGTCCATTGCCCAGGCCAGGCCAGGAGCGTTGTCCCGCTGCCCGGTTTTCCCTGGCACATCCATCAGCTGCTTACTGCCCGGTGGACACTGGCCCCGCCTGACACCCCCCCCCCGCTGCCCCTCACCCCCCCAGCGGGCCCGGATGTCTCCCGTGTGGCTCCTGGTGGCAGCCTGCAGGAGGGGAGGACAGCCATACCCGCCCTTCCGGAGCTGTGATGACCTTGACGCCTCCCTGCCTCTTGGGGAGGGAGGGTTGGATCAGGCCTGAGGTCGCTCTCTGCTCTCTCTTGCTGGTTATATTTTAGATTTCGGAGTCTGAGCTGGGATGCAGAGCTGGGTTCTTTGCTGAGAAAACCGGGGGTCTGTCCTGCTAATGGACACACCAGTCATCCCCACGCAAGACTTCCCTGCCTGCTGCCAGGCCCTCCTCTGGGGAGGCCAGGCCCTGCCCGGGTGGTGCTTCTGACCCACGCGGGGAAACAAGCCGGGGTCAGAGCCCTCCTGCTCCTCCTGGGGCCAGTTCCGGCCCTGCAGGAGGCCTTGGCACTGGGAGTCAGCGTGGCTGGGGTCGGCCCAGCTCCTGACTCGGAGTCATGACCCTCAGCTGGGAGGGACTAGACTTGGCCTTGTGCAAATGAGTGGCGTCTTTCAGTAGAACGTACCCTCCCTCTGCTCGAGAAGAGCGAGGGTGCTTGAAGCTGAGACAGCGACATCAAGAGGAGATGTTCGCGCGTGGCGTGGAAAGTGAGCGATCAGAACCTGCTGTGGTCATGCCAGGCCGCGTCCTCGGTCACCTCACCCCGGTCCAGGGCCAACGCTCGCAGGGACGTGGAGCTGGACCCGGCTTCCGGCACACGTGCGGCCCAGCACCTCTTCCGCTCTCGGCCCCCGGCTCCCATGTTCTAACAGCCTGCCCTCTTTGCCTGGCCAACTCCGTGCAAGCCCCCTGGGCACCCTGTCCCAGCCAGTCTGGGCACATCTGATGGAGGAAGAGTTCTTAATGGTTAACTTATTTACATGAGCGGGCTTCTACGGGCCTGTAGCGCGTGGTGACATCCAGGGAGCCAGTTTCTCTGGAGAGAAACAACACAGGACACTTATTCGATATTGGAACATTTGACATCAAGAACTTCCTGGAAGACGGGTGTGTGTTTTGCCCACGTGGCCACGTGCTGCTCTTTATTTCTTCCCGAGCATAGTAGGGTCGACCTGCAGCCTGGGGCAGGCCAGGCCCAGGACTGTGGCCACCGGGAGGTGAGGACAGTCCCGGCCGATGCCACAGTGCGGCCTCTGGGCCCGGGAAGCAGCTCGTCCCTTTCGGTGGTTGCTGAAAACGGTGTTCCGGTGCTCAGTCGCTCGCAGCGCCCTGGCCTTGCCCTCCCTCGGACTCTGGAGGAGTTTCCAAATGCCAGTCTGCCCTGGGACGCTGCAGTGTGCCGCTGTGCTGACAGCCAAATGCTGTGCCCCAGGCACGCCGAGCAGCTTCCGGGGAGCCCCCCCGTGTGAGTAATGATGGTGTCACCAGCAGCCGGTGCCTCTGAAGGCATCTGCTGGAAGCCGAGGGCAGCGTGTGCGCCATACAGTCCAAGACTCGGCTGTGTAAAGGGCTGTTGCATCAGCGCCCCGCCTCGGCCCGCCCTGGTGCGACTCGCTGGGCGGCTGCCAGGACAGGCAGCGGCCGCGCCAGGGCCTCCTGGAGCCAGCAGGGCCCTGCGGCAGCTCCCCGGCTGCACAGACACCAGCACTGCAGCGGCCCGGCCGGAGGGGGAGCGGCAGGCCCCCACTTGACCGACGCGTGCCGCGAGCGGAGCTGGGCTGCCCGCCCGCCTTCCCGCCAAAGGCAGACTCGAGCTCGGAGCGCCGGCTGGTGTTGAGGCTGCCCCTGCCTGGCATGAGGGTGGGCGCCGACAGCCCTGCTTGGCTCCTCTCCTTAACACCGCTCCCAGTGGTCCTCGGTCCGAGGGGAAGGGCCAGGCGCCTGCGCTTGGTCCCAGGACCCTCGTGGGCCGCCACGCTCGCCTTCCCACTCTTGTGCCCTCGTAAGCGTCGGCTCACAACCTGCCCTCTGCCACTTTTGCTGTCAGGATTTACTGATCGCCACACGCCCAGTGCCTGGCACACCAAGGTCCATGGACATCGGTACTCTGACACCGTTCCGTCCCGAGGACCTGGCCGCTTCTGGCTGCCCCATGGCTCACGCGCTTGGGGGACTGTCTCCTGGTAAAATTCCAGAGACGGCGGGCTCAGAAGATCCTCCTGGCCATTCTCCGTTTTCATTTCAGCTGACAGTATCTGTCCCCTGCAGGATATGGGCTGGGTTTTGGGACCCCGGGAGGACTCGAGAAGGCCCCTCGAGGCCTGACTCCCCATGCGTGAGGAAAGCCTCCTCTTTGTTTTCTTTTCTCCTGAGCACTGGTGTCTGCCTCTGACCCGACGTGTCGCAGCACCTCTGCTGGGTTTGCCTCTGCCCCATTTCTGCCAGAGCCCCACCCTCACGGCCCCACCTTGGGGAAGCCCCAGAGCCTGCAAGAGTTCTTTCTCTCAAGCCGGGGACTGGTGTGGGGGGGCCCCTTGCACAACCCAGGAGGTGCATGCCCCACCCTGGGCGGGCGTGAGGCCACCTTCCTGCCAAATCAGCGCCATGACCATCCGAGGGGCCTGGAGCGTCACCTGGATGGAGCCTGGGTCCTGGGGTCCAGGGGGAGGCCGTGTCTTCACGCGCCTTTGAGCCAGCTACACCGAGTCCCTGCCTGCTACCAATGAAGAGAAACATGGTGGTCCCTGCCTGGCAAGACCTCACAGGCTTATGTCCTGGAATGCTCTGGGGA